ATTGTAGGATTGCGGTCGCCATCTTGGCAATATTTGACTGCCCCCTTACAATCCTAGGATTGAGCCTAGTCCAGGGGTAGGCAACCTTGGCTCTTTTATGACTGGTGGACTTCAACTCCCAGAATTCCTGAGCCAGCCATGCTGAGAGGAAAGGGAGAGGTTTCCAAGCTGAGCCAGGCTGGCTCAGGAATTCTGGGAGTTGAAGTCCACGAGTCATGAAGGGGCCACAGTTCCCTCATGCTGGCTCAGGAATTCTGGGAGTTGAAGTCCCCGAGTCATGAAGGGGCCAAAGTTTCCCTCATGCTGGCTCAGGAATTCTGGGAGTTGAAGTCCCCGAGTCATGAAGAGGCCATAGTTCCCCCACGCTGGCTGAGGAATTATGGGAGTTGAAGTCCACGAGTCATGAAGGGCCACAGTTCCCCCATGCTGGCTCAGGAATTCTGGGAGTTGAAGTCCACGAGTCATAAAAGAGCCAAGGTTGCCTACCCCTGGCCTAGGCAAGCGATAGGTTCCTTCATTTATCTTCTATTCTGGGAACCAAACAGATCCAGAAATTTTTTTAACAGAATAACATAATCTTCTCATTCTGTCATGCACAACCGGCTAGGGAATGCTGAGAGTTGAAGTCCACCTTTCTTAACAGAATAACAGAGCTGGAAGGGACCTTGGAGGTCTTCTAGACCAGTGGTTCTCAACCTTTTTAATGCCGCGATCCCCAACCGGTCATAAGTCGAGGACTACTCAACCGGTCGTAAGTCGAGGACTACTCAACTGGTGCAGCACCGTTTGCAGACTGGGACTTTTGGCGGGCTCAGCAGGGCAGAGACAGCCTGGACAATTCCTATTGGCTTTGGAAAGCCAATAGAATTAGACTCTATTCAAGAGAGTCTCTTCTATTGGCTTTCAAAAGCCAAGAGAATAAAAGGGAGTAGCACAGTTAAGGAAAAGGGGGGAAAAAATGGCGGACTGCGTTGTTTGGCGACCCCTGTGAAATGGTTGTTCGACCCCAAATGGGGTCCCAACCCACAGGTTGAGAACCACTGTTCTAGAATAACCCTCTGCTCAAGCAGGAGACCCTATACCGTCTTCTTCTAGAAGAAGAAGAAGAAGAAGAAGAAGAAGAAGAAGAAGAAGAAGAAGAAGAAGAAGAAGAAGAAGAAGAAGAAGAAGAAGAAGAAGAAGAAGAAGAAGAAGAAGAAGAAGTAGTAGTAGTAGTAGTAGTAGTAGTAATAGTTGGAAGGGACTTTTGAGGTCTTCTAATCCAACCTCCTGCTCAAGCAGGAGACCCTAGACCGTCTCAGGCAAACGGTTGTCCAATCTCTTCTTCAAAACTACTTCTTGAGTTCTTTGAGAAGAACCTAAAAGTTCTTCTTCTTAAAGGTGCCCCGCTTGGGAAGCCCTCTTCTAGATCCGTAAGATCTTGGCCTCATGGTTTCTCACCAGCATCCTCCCTGAATGATGACTTGGATGTGAGAATAGAATCACAATCCCATCCTCCAAATTTTCACAGCCTTTTGAAAACTCCCCGGAGGAATTGAATCCCCTCCAGGGTATTGTCCGGCTTCCCGAGATGGAAACACAACTGTACGAGGCCTACACCTCTCGGTCTACACTTTATAATGGCGCCCAAATAAGTGTCTCCGATAACAACAGACCAAACCCACTCCGATGACGATCAGCGAGAGAACCAGCAGGAACGCCAGCAAAATCAAGACGCTCATTTTCTTGATGTCCTCTCTCTCGCAGTCTTCAGGCCTAACGTGACTCACGTGGACCTCTTCTTCCTCAAAGCCCAAACTCCGGGCAAACTGACACTTGACCAGGTCTAGATCTGGGATCTCCACCACAGCTTTATGGATCATCTGAGAGAGCCAGATGTTCCCGCAACAACTGAGCGGGTTCCCTACCAGGTAGAGATTCCGTAGGTTTTTCTCCAAGGCTGGGATCTGGCTATTTTTCAAGCTGTTGAAGCTGTTGTTGTGAAGATCTAAGATTTCAAGGACACAGCAATCTTCTGACCAAGTGGGCAACCAGCTAAGCTGATTGTCCGATAAATTGAGATACCTGAGGTGACGGAAAAGGGGGAAGTCCACGTTCAGCGTGGTCAGTCCGTTCCCGTGTAAATCCAAATATTCCAGCGAAAATTCCAAGCCCACCAACGATTTGGCTTCGATCTGAAGCCCCCAATTCATGGAGACATCCAGTATCCTGAGGTTAGTCCTGAAGAAGCTGAAGATGGGCAGGGTCTTCAAACGATTGGCAGAAAGATACAAATACTGAAGTTCGGGGACGTGGGCAAACGAGACACAGCCGGGAGGAACCTTGGGTGACAATCGGTGCCTTCCTGGTCCTGAGTGCGAGTCACAGAGGCTGATCCTGTTGTTCCTCAGATCGAGCCACTGGAGATGTGGGAGACGTTGGAAGATATCTGAATGCAGCTCCTGAAGGTGGTTGTCTTGGAGGTGGAACTCCTGCAAACCACTCAGGGTGCTGGCGTCCAACTGAAGGTCCTTCAAAGAGTTGCAGCTAATATCAAGAATGGACAACGAGGCCAGCGGGTGGCTGGTCTTGAAAATCTGCAGGCAGTTTTTGCTTAAATTAAGGAATTGGAGGGAAAACATGGAGTCAAAGAATTGGCTTGGGATGGATTGGATCTCATTGTAACTGAGGTCCAAGGATAACAGGGCAGGCAAGTAAGGAGGATGGGAATTGTTGGAATATTGAGGACCATCCTCCCACTGATAGTCTACGTCGCTATGGGATTCCACCATGACAAACTGCATTATGTTCTTGGTTAGGTTCAAATAAGCCAGTTTATTTCCTTGGGGGAGAACCGGGAAACGAAGGAGCTTGTTCTCACTCAGGTCAAGCCAAATCAAGTTGAAGTCCTCCTCCGATTGGGTGGAGTGGAAGGACTCGATGCTGTTCCGACTGAGATCCAGAAGGTCCAACTGCTTGAGGTTGAAGTCAACGATGCAAGTGAGGGAGTTCATGGAGAGATTCAGCTTGGAGAGATGCGCCAGGCCCTCGAAAGCGCCTTCTTCTATCTCCATAATCATGTTGTTGTGCAAGTTGACTTCAACCAGCTCTGGAGAACCCTGGAACATGCTTTGGGAGATGTGTATAATGCTGTTCTCCGCCAAGGACAGATATCGTAGCGAAGGTGCGTCGTGAATGAAGTGTTCCGCCATGCCAGTGTAGAGACTGTTGCGAGACAAATCGAGTTTCCTGATTTGGGGTAGTAACCCAACCCACAGATCTTCCTGAGCCAACAGATAGAGCTGGTTGTTGGCCAAGTTGAGGTCCTCCAGCTTCTTCATCTCCGCAAAGATCCCAGGCTCGACGAATCCGATCAGGTTGGAACTGACATCTAAATGTCGGAGAGAAGTGTAGAAGGTCAGGGGTCTCTCGGTGATATTTTGAATCTTATTTCCAGAGAGGTCGATTTTGGAGACGTCTGGGTGAAGCTCTGGAGGCACCCGGCGAAGCCCCGCGCTCTGACAAAATGCCTCCAGATTTCTCTGTAGAAAGAAGAGAGAGAGGGAAATAAAAATTGTGAATGATATTCATCCCGGAGAAGCATATTCACAGACCAGTTCTGTATACACTAAAAGAGTTTTCTCAGCAGGAGCTGAACTCATGGGGTGTGGTGTGGTGTGTGTAAAATGGGTGTGTTGCTAATTGAACCCTCTGTATTAACAGTATAACCGTGTTGGAAGGGACCTTGGAGGTCTTCTAGTCCAACCCCCTGCTCAAGCACAAGACCCTTTATCAGTGATGGCGAACTTTTTAGAGACCAAGTGCCCAAACTGCAACCCAAAACCCACTTATGCATCGTCGGGTGCCTGGTGGGTGTGGCCCATTGGGTGGGCGTGGCTGCGATGGTAACGGCAGACTGGGTGGGACTAAAAAGCTTAATGAATCAATTCCAACTGTGCAAGATCTTTTTTTTTCCCACGAGAAGTTGAAATTGACTGATTGATTGAACCTTTTTTTTTCTACATGGCAGCGGAGGCCTAAAGCGAAAAGGTTTTATAAAACCCAGCTGAAGGCCTAGGACTGGGGCGACGGCGCGCGTGCCCACAGAGAGGGCTCTGAGTGCCACCTCTGGCACCCATGCCATAGGTTCACTACCACTGCCCTATATCATTTCAGACAAATGGCTGTCCAGTCTCTTCTCAAAAACCTCCAGTGTTGGAGCATTCACAACTTCTGGAGGCAGGTTGTTCCACTGGTTAATTGTTCTGACTGTCAGGAAGTTTCTCCTTAGTTCTAGGTTGCTTCTTTCCTTGATTAGTTTCCATTTGTTGCTTCTTGTCCTGCCCTCAGGCGCTTTGGAGAATAGCTTGACTCTCTCTTCTTTGGGGCAGCCCCTGAGATACTGGAAGACTGCTATCCTGTCCCCCCTCGTCCTTCTCTTCATTAAACTAGACATACCCAATTCCAGCAACCGTTTCTTATATGTTTTAGCCTCCAGTCCCCTGATCATCTTTGTTGCTCTTCTCTGCACTCTTTCTAGAGTCTCAGTATCTATGGCATTAATAACAACATCACTGCTTTCAAACGTGACCCCTTCTAAGCTTATTGGTGTTGCAAATCTAGGCATTGCCAGAAGAATGAAGGCTACTATGTCCCTGGGTTGTATTCTCACAACATGTTTAACCATTTTCTCAGTTCACAATGAATTAAGGAAATGGACTAAGGTTGCCTGATGCTAAGGGACAACTAAGCACTGCTAAAATCCCAAAGAAATACTCAGGATAATAGAGTGCCCACTGAGCATTTTGAGGCATACTCATCCCCACTTACCTCCTGATTGAGCAGGGGGTTGGACTAAAAGACCTCCAAGGTCCCTTCCAGTTCTATCCTGTTCTGTTCAGTTTGGTTTGGTTTGGATCAATTCTCTCCTATCCTATCCTATCCTATCCTATCCTATCCTTATCCCTATCCCTATCCCCATCCCTATCCCTATTCCTATTGTATTCCATTCCATTCCATTC